ACTCCACCCAATGGCATGTGCCCTGCAAAACACAGCCTGGGCAGCTCAGAGTGAATTAAAAGTCCATCTTTGAGATCAAATTACCACCAAAGAGAAAGCAGTAGGAGGTGATAAAGTGCTAAGGTTTCTGGTACCATGGAACTATTTCCCCAGCTCTGTCAATAGCCAGAGGAATTGAATTTAAGTCACTGTCCTTTCTGAACTTCTTTCCATCAATAAACTGGAGGGAAAGAACATGGATATCTTCTCCTTACCTTAACCCAGTTGATCCTGATGAGAAAAGTACTTGAATGAAAAAGGTTTTAAGAGCAAGATCTTGAAGCACTGAAACAGTGAAATCAATATACAAGTGTATTTTTAAACATCTGTAAAAACTGGAAGAAAGAGAATATATTGTGATGCATCTAGGGCTTTGCTGCTCTAAAGCAAAGGTGGAGACTCCTCATGCACTACGTAAAAGTGCTGCAATATATGTGCCTGGCTTGCAGTTTGGACTGTAATTTCAACACTATAACTTGGTCTTTCCAGGTTTTGAAACAAAAATATTTTAAAAATTACAGTATTTTTCAACAAATTGAAAATATACTTTGCCAGTAGGTAGAATCTGTTGCTAAAATGCTACTATCCATTTAATAACTTTAAACTTGGATAATAAAACTCATGGCTATTAAAAATATTGTGTTTGTGGCTATGGGTGATTTTTTATTTTCTCCTTCTCTCCTCTTCAATGTGAATACAGAAATTAGTTGTAAATTGTTGCTAGCAATCTGCTCTGCAAATGCATAAAGAAAGTAATTTTGGAGCTTGCCAATCATAAATCAGGAATGACTTTAATAGGGAGTTATCAGGCATGGCAGGGTGAGAAAGGCTTCATCTTGTTTTAATGAGAATGGGCTTGTACCTCCAAAAGCAGCAAAATTAGAACTCATGAATAACTTGTGGTGGAATATTTTCTCCTTGGCATCCAAGACAATAAATCTGCAGTCTCCAAGATTGAAGAATAATTAAATAAAACAGGTTAATTACCAGTACTTGGAAAAATTAATTTCCTACCAGGCACATTCTTTTATCTTCCTGACATTTTAAAATAAACTCGTCAAATCCCCACCACTGTGATTTTTTGTGTTAATTTTGCTCCTATTTTGGATTTTTTACAAAACCATTGTTGTCCTATATTTTATATTGACCCTAAATGCATGATTCCTTAAACCTTAAATTACATGAGTGGGGTTTTTTGTTTGCTTGTTAGAAATTTTTTTCTAGTTAAGGATGGCCATTGACGAAGGCCATTGGATTGTGATTTTCTTTTGATGGCACTTGTGTAAAGCATTAGTCACGATGTCTTAACCAACATACTTATTAATAAGGAAGTCTATATCCCAAACTGTTCTGGGACATTGATGTAGTAGGGCTGAGTGACTTTTCCAAAGGTACTTAGATATTCCAAGTGATGACAGCTGACCATGGAAAAGAGAAACCCAATAATTTTATAATTCTACAGAATTGTTTCTCCCATAGTAAAGTTCTGAGGGACTTAGGAGGGGAGAGGAAAAGGTCCTGGAAGCTCTACAGGTTGTGCACTTGTTAAAGTGCCCAATGGACAAGAGTTTCCAAAGGTTTTGGTTGGGTGGTGATGGAGCCTAGGACACACTGCTGCTTCCATCACTCCATGCCTTCTCTATTGTAAAACACAGGAGTCATAGTATTTTGATGCCTGTTCACACTGGTTATTTGAAGATGTTTATATAGCCCACGCTGTGTCATCACAAAGCTTACTCAACCATACCACTGGACACTTCAGCCAGCACATCCAAGAACTACAACAGGCAACCACTATGAGGACACTGGAAAGGCTTCCTTGGCCAGCTCAGGCTTTAGACCTAGAGAAAGGGCTATTAAATAGTTTACTCCAAAATTCTTGTCTATCACAAGCCTCCAAATGTCTCCCAGCTATCCAGTCCTCTGCAAGAATTCAGCCCCAGTCCTTCATATATTAACCAAACCCACAGGAGTAGCAGTGCGTTGGTTCACGGGCGCTTTCATATCTGCATGGGGTATAAGCTGTTTGCTTGCTCCTGTTGACAATAGAAACAAGGGATGGGGAAGGGATTTACTTACAGGGTTGGGCCGTGGCAATGGGCTTTCTAAATAGCGGTGTGACTTTTGTCTGTGCATCTGGATTTGATTATTAAGCACTTTTTTTCATGATCAGCGACAAAGCAAATAGGTTTATAGCACTTGAGGAGGCCTCTCTTCTCAAGTGGCAGATTATTGCACCTACTCAAATCATTGTGAGTAGAATGAAAAATCCTACTATTAAAAGGCCAGGGCTTTTCATTGATCTGAATGTTTCCCTTTTAACAACCCTGGCAGCATCAATGAGCCTTAAAGTGGGAGTAAATTATATTGGTATGTTTTAGTTTAAACATTAGTTTAAAGGTGTTTTTAAGCCAACTTTAAGGCCAACTGTTTGTAAAGGAGGCCTTAATGGAATTGGGAATTATGCCCAGAGCAAACACCTTGTCTGTTTGGCAGTGATTAGTAATGTGTTCACAGTTTACTAAATATAGGGTAACCAAATACTAAGGCACTTAAATGCACCTTCAGATAGAGCAGTAGCAGGTTTAGAAATGTACTTTATTAAAATCTGAGCCTGCTAACAAAGAAGCTGTAGAAGACAGTAAAGGGGTTTTGCAGAGATATCCTGATGGATAATTCACTGACTGTGAGATCACAGTTTTTGGGGGTGACGCAAAGTCGTGAGTTGAGGCATTTTCTTTGTGGAGAGTTGCTGGAAAGCCTTCTGTTTGAGACATCTGAAACTGCAAAGAGGACAAAACACTGGGGATATATAGTACAGTACAAGGAAGCCAGTAATGGATGGAACTGTCTTAGCAGTTTTTAGAACCTGACTTTCCTTCTCTGAACTTTTTAGGATTACACTTGTTCTTTGCAGACCTCACACCTTGTCACTAAGGAGGGCTTCTAGGCACTGAAGGTACTTCTAGGTAGTGAAGCAGTGCCATGTTCTGGCTGCTGTTGATAGTATGCAAATAACCTTACTTGTTTCTATTCCTGAACTGCTGTGCCCTGCCTGACCCCACAAACAGCTCAGGTTTTCTGTGCAGGGATCCTCATAACAAAGTTGCATCTTTGCTTTGTCACTGGGCTGATTTGCACCCTTCCTGCACCATAAATGTGGCTGGTGCTGTTAAATGTCATCCAGAGTTTGCTCTGCTAGGACTGGAGAGAGCAGAAGGCAGTGAACCTCTTCTTTCTGAATCCCAGTACTCCATGATCTCAATAACAGTGACATCTGGATGTGTCTACTCAGTTGCATCACTGTATTACACGAAGTCCCTTTTCTACTTTGATTTACCTCAATCAGATTTTTTATCTGATGATGAGATTTTTAATTAACTTGAAGGCCAGTTGTTTGTTTTTTTGTTGTTTTTTTTGTTTGTTTGTTTGTTTGGTTGTGTTTTTTTTGTTGTTGTTTTTACTTATTTGCCAAGGAAATGGAGATCAGGAAATGGAAACTTGGCAGTAATGTCCTCCCCCTGAAAGTAATCCTTCCTTTCTCACCATAGTGGCAAATGTTTGTGCATGGCTAATAAGAGAAACACCAATGTTATGAAGCTTCACTCATACAACTTCCATGTGCCACAGTGGCTCCATGTAGGATAAAAGCACATGCTGAAAGGAGGAGGTGGAAAATCACTGCAGAAATATCCCAGTTCTTTGATTGTGTGAGCCAGGGAAACATCATGGGAACTACAGTGTGTGACCAGGAAGAGCCCACTGCTGGCAGACCTAACAGCCTCATGGCTCAGAGAGCATTTCTGCTGAATATGGTAGTCTGAACACTGTGAAGGATGGGTAAGGGTGGTTGTCAGAGTGCTTAGAGTAAATACATTACTTTTTAAAAAAAATTTCTTAATATTTTTTATTTTTTTACATGTGTTTTAGCCATAGTATAGCTTCATTGTTTAGGCCTGGGACTCTGTCAGGGAGCTGAACTGCAAGTGTGTTGTGTTATAGGGGTGGAGACAAGCAAAACATGTTTCAAACAGAGGCAAGTGAACCTGTGCAACATGACATTCACAGCCAGTTACACAGATTTTGATTTCAGAGGGTGACTTTTGCTTTCTCAAACCTCATCTCTACTCAAGACAAAGGGCTAGGGCATCATAAGGCAGTAGTTGTTGTGGTATTAGGGGTATTGCAAGAAGAGAAAAAATGGAGAGGACATCCTCAGGAGGTCCCTGATGGAGTGGCTGAGTCAATGAGTCTCCAATCATCCTCACAACACAGTGGTTCATGGCTGGGTGTCTGTGAGGATGGTGGGCTGACAGGGCTGATCCCAGTCCCCTTTTGGATTTGTGGGATCCTGTGTTTTGGTTGCAAGACCCACAAAAATATGGATAAGTCTTAGGAATGTGAGGCCAAATGGGGACATGTGCTTTCACACTTCAACACAATGACCTTTATCTTACCTGGTGACCTGAAGGGCAGTGACTGCTGTGTAAAAGAAGCCTACAAGTAGCCAAGAGGCTCTAGAGCCTTCTCTCAACCAGCAGTGACAACAACTATGTGGTGGCACAATCCTCTGCCAGAGCCAAGCACCACAGGAAAACAAAGACTGGACACATCTCACACCTTCTTCTCATGTATCAGAGGGGTTTTGTACGTACATTCCTACATGATGAGATACCTCTGTTTAGAGAGAAAGGTCTACAAAAGGGTTGAGAGTCATCAAGGTGGTGCCAGGCTGTTTGGATAGTGGTCCCAGTCACAGAGCACTTGCTCTCAGCTGGGGCATGAAGGGTTTACAAGAGAGTAGTGACCACCCCAATTCCGTGGCTCTTTGACATTCACTGTTTGGTTTCCTTGCAGTCCCATTTAGAGCTGAGAGGATTTTAACCGAGGACCGATCACCACTGCGTTCGCAGCCTCCGTTTCTCTGTGACGCTCTCCAAGCTGTGTTTCTTTGTTTGCAGGCCACTGCCCAGACCTCCATCACCACCATGTCCCCCACTGTCCCAGCCACGACAGAGACCTACACACGGACCCAGTACTGCAAGTGGCCGTGCGAGTGCCCCAGGTCCCCTCCGCGGTGCTCCATGGGCGTCAGCCTGGTCACGGACGGCTGTGACTGCTGCAAGACCTGTGCCAGGCAGCGTGGAGAGACCTGCACGGAGGCTGACACCTGTGATTTCCACAGGGGCTTGTACTGCGACTACAGCGGAGACAGACCTAGGTACGAAATAGGAGTATGTGCACGTAAGTGATGTACATATATTTTTGGCTTAGATATATGTTGCCCAGCTCCCCTCAGTCTGAGTGGTGGGTGAGGTTTATCTCATTAGATTACTGGCAGCTTCCCCATGCATCATCTTCCATTCCCTTGTAGCTGCCTTTGTTCTCAGGGCAGGTGGCTGGATGGGAAATGACAGCTGAATTCTTGCTCTTTGAGTTGGCTGCAGCCAAGAGCAAAGACCAACCAGCATTTGGAGGTCTCCAGATGCGCAAGGAGATGATTCCATATTCCCTGCAGCAGAAGGAGGTTCTGTAGTGGGTTAGGGATGAAGGAAGGGTAGGTGTGCAGCTGGATTTAAAGACAAGCAATGTAGGTGTCTACATGACAACTACGACATTAAGGGGATGCTTCTGGCAAATTCCCTAGTGTGGACGCTTTGAAAGGATAGCATGTGGTATCCTGTCAAGAGGGTCAGGAATGAATCCTCTCCTATCAGAGCTTTTCAGTGACAAATTGAGGTCTGAGCCTTAATTTTACAATGGTTACAGTCACATTAGCTGCAATGAGGCAGAAGGATTTCTTCCTGCCTGTCATAACAGACTCTTGCTTTCATGTGACTGGAATGCTTTTACTCAAGAAGAGGAAAAAGAAGTTAGGTAATGTTTCATGTGCCAAGGATATGTTCACTTGTTCTGAGATCCAGAACATGAGATGGAATCTGATTAGCTTATAAATGTCAAAAATTATTGAAAATTACTACTCTGAGAAAGATTAAAAGTGAAAGGATTGCAAGCACAACCCCACAGACTGCTGATCAGAGAGGCTGTCACCAAGTTATTAGAACATATGGCCATGGCTTTAGGTACATGAACAGGAAAAAGTCATTTAGAGGTAGGGTCTTCTAGGCTGGAACATAACCATGAATGATCTAAGAGGAAATGTGAAGGTGAAAAAAAACCTGGAGAAGTGCTGACTGTGAGATGAGTAGGTAGAATAACTGATCCACAGGAGAGGAAAAAAATTACAAACTGTGGGCTTCCATAAGCTTAAAACAGCAGAAGTCACACAAGGGTCAGGTCTGAAGAGAGAAGCAGTTCAGGGAAGCTGACAGTTTCTCCCAGAAGTGATACTAGGTGTTGCAGTAGCTCAGTTACCAAAAAAAAAAAAAAAAAAAAAAAAAAAAGGCATGCAAAAAGTGCAGTCTAACCAGATTTTTGTGGAATATGATCAAAATAACAACAAGAGAAGTTACGTGCAAGGAGCTGTATGCTTAAACAGTGATTTTCAAGATTAGAAAAGATTAAGGTTAAGAAGAGAGGATATGAGATCATTCAAGTGTATTGTCTGGAGTGTGTGGGAGGTCTGTAAGGGCAGGTTAGACAAACATTGTCAAGAATGACATCGTTACAGCTGGCCCTGGGTTGGGAGAGGAAAACAGGCTTGATGTTGTCTCAAAGCTATCAGCCTTCCTAGAGCTCTTTAAAGACCTTCATGTTGCTTCACATTTGTTTATTTATTTAAATGCTTGTTTTCTTAGTTGGATATCTTTCGGTTTTTGCAGTCCTCCCATACATCACAGGCATTCAAGGATGCCTGTGGCAGCAGCGCTGCGATGTACTAAGACTGAGGTCCAGATTTCCCAGTGAGGTCTAGAGGGATTCCCAGTCTATGCTTTTTCGTCCTTACTACCATGACATTTATTCCTTATTATGTGACATCTGTGATGACATCTGTGATTCTATGGTGAGGGGCAGTGTGCTGCGCAGAGCTGAGGGGAATCAGAGGCAGGTCTTTCCATGGTTAGGAGTGAAGCAGGTTGTCTCTGGCTGCCAAAGAAACCTGTAGTCTTCCCCTTGCTTTCATCATCCAGGTAGATGCACAGGACAGGATCTGCTGACATTTTCTTTCTTGTACCCTGGGTCACATACAGGCTGCATCACCCCACTCTCAGCCCAAGAGGTTCTGTCCTGATCACAGGGTGAGTGAAGGCTCCTGTGAGTGGCACCCTGTTGGGTGTTGGGGACTGACTGCTGTGAGGAGTCTGCTTTGCATGTGGTTCCTATCGGCCAGGTCTAGAGAACCTAAAGAATCCAGGGCATACAGGGCTACAGAAACAATATAATATGTGGAAAAATAAGGATTCTGAAAGAACTAGGAACTGGTTTTGGGAAAGGGAATGCAGTCAAACTGGGGGAAATTCAGGCTATATCTGGACTGGCATGCTGTGGTGTATCCCAGGATCTAACCTTCCAGACGTGAAATAAGAACCTGCTGGGAGTCACTACAGCTCTCCTTTCGTTGTTGGATTATCTCTGCACCAAAGCAGAGACAGCAGAGGGCTGAACACATGCCCAGGTGGGGAGTCAGGCATTGTGCACATGGGGCTGGGATTAGGTATGTGCTTCCAAATTGCTTAATTTCAGATTTAGTGAAGTTCTGCATGAAGGCATTCAGCAACCCCTTTGTGTTTGGAAATGTTCTCATGGTGAACCTCTTGGTGTAGGAGACCTGAAGGAGGCTGAGTTATCATACTGCAGGAGGGATATGCTGGTAGGAAAACATCAGGAAACACAGCATTTTCTTGAATTGTTGTAATCCATGTGCACACCTAGAAATATACCTGAATTCTCAGGTCCAGTTCCAGCACTAAGAAATGTTTTTTCAATACAAAGGCTGAAACATTATCAAAATTTGAGCTGGAGATCTAGATCTGTGCTTCAGATTCCAACAACTCTCATTTTGGTGCAGAAGAAATTTGCATTTGATGTTTTCTTTCAGCCCATTCTAAAAATATGTAGCCTTTACAGAATTTTAATCCAACATTTCAATTTGTGTTCCTCCGAAGCAGCCACATTGCTGCTCATTTTCCCACTAGACTTAAAAGTGATCTGACCAGTGCGAGTGCACTGCCTCCATGTGACCAAACAAGAAACTAAACTTTGAATTTTCCACTGAAAGATTTCTGCCACTGCTTCCAAAAAAATGGCCATATCTTTGAAACAAATGAACAAAAAAATATTGCTGTTTGGATCAATGTGATTCCTGTTCACAGACAATCCAAATGTTTGATTTTTTTTTTATGTTTATTTTTTTTGTGAATTTGCTTAAAAAAATACAATTATTTTTATAAATAATAATAATATTTTTATAAAAAAATAATAGTAATTATTTTCATGGCTTTATAATTTATACTTCATTATCATAGAAAAATATTCTGTGATAAACCATGTGGGATCCAGTTGCCTAAATTTAGGAATCCAGTGCCATTTAGGTGCTCCTTTGCTACCTTGGTTGTCTTTCCCTCTCTGCTTCAGATGGGTACAGGTGTTGTGAAGAGCTGTGTCTTATATGTGACTCCGTATAGTCCCCTCATATGTCTCTGAAAGCCTTAAATTTCACTCATTATCTGTTTTAATTGCTTTGATTGCTCCTACTGGAATAACTCGTACCACCGTGCCATGAAATGATTATTTAAGTAAGCATTTGTGGGTAAAGCTTGTCTTATTTTCTAACTTATTTTTTCCATGAAGCATTGAAAGATTCTCTTTTTTTTTTGCTGTGATTCAGAATGAAAACAGCTTCCTAGATGGTGTGACTACCCTTGTCTCAGCATCATGCTGAACACATCACCCTGCAGCACTGCCGTGTCTCCATGTTGGCTCTGCCAGCCCAGGGATCAGCTTGGTAAAGGAACACATCAGAGCTGCTTGTTGCCAGCATCATTTTAATGGTCCTTTGTGTGTCTTTCTCTCTTTGTCTTTATTTTCAGAGATTGTTGGTGTAGGATGTGTCCTCAATGGAGTCAGGTATAAGAATGGGGAGACGTTTCAACCCAACTGCAAATACAACTGCACATGCATTAACGGGGCTGTGGGATGTATTCCCATGTGCACAAACTCACGTCCTCCCCTTGTCTGGTGCCCAAACCCAAAGCTGATTAAGATGGCAGGGAAGTGCTGCGAGCAGTGGGTTTGTGATGACTCCAGGAAAATCAGGAAGACGTCTCCGCGTCACATCTCCTCTGCAGGTATGGAGGCAATGAGGCAATCCTCTCCTTTGCCATCAGGCAGCTGAAGACAGAATCTACAAGCAAAGTATCAGCTTGTATTGCCAGAGCTGGCAGGTGTCTAGTCTTTGTGTGAATGAGGCACAGAGACTCCCACACAGGATGTGCTGAAGGACAGGACAGGCCAATCCATGTAGTGTGCTCAAACTCCTTAGCAGCAATGTGGATATGGATGCCTCATCCCAGGAAGCATTCAAGGCCAGGTTGGATGGGGCCCTGAGTAACCTGATCTAGTGTGTCATCCCTGCCCATTACAGGGGAGTTGGATCAAAATGATCTTTAAGGTCCTTTTCAACCCAAACCATTTGATGATTCTAAGAATGTGAGATTCACCAAAGGTGCTTGTGTAACCATCCTGTGATTCTGCGTGACAAAGCCCCCTTTGAAGAATCTGCTGGAACTTTGAAGATATCACGAGTCTTTTTTAATGTTTCACCTTTTTTTTTTTTTTCAGTCTGGGCCCTCTGGGAAACAGAATGGGTTCAGCTTAATTTGAGACTGAGGTCTTCTGTCTAGGTCATATTGCTTTGGCAGTGCAATTTTAAAGCCCCTGTATCTTAGTAGACTCAAACTTACATAGCATCTTGAAAGCAGTTATTGTGCTGGAAGTTTCATTGCCAGCTGGGCTAAATTGTCTTTGTGCTAGTATAGCTTTTCATCAATTCTGGACTGATGATATTGTTAAACTACCTTTTTTGTGTATCACATAATGTGTCTTCTTTCCACACACATTCGTAGCCCATTGCACAGAGGTGGTACCATTTGCCTCAAATATGGTTTCAAATGCTTAAGATGAACTTACCTTGCCATATGTCTTAAATTTGTCCTCAAAATGCCCTACAATGCAATGTATTGCCACTAGCCACATTAGCTCCATATTTTAGACTATCTCACAAAAGTAAAGCTCAAGGAGATGTAGGATGCTTGTTGTAAACCAGGATTTTGTTTCCTCAGTGGTAAGGGATTTTTTCCCCCAACCCTTGGTCTATATTTTTACTGTACAAAGCAAAGCTTCAGTCTCCATTTTGTGCATTAAAATTGTGCACTGGAGTTTAGCCCTCACTTCTGTCCCTAGTAGCTCTGAAATATGATGTGGGTCCAAATTCACAGCATCTACTGCTGAAACTGGCCTTATATCTTCGTCACCTTTGTTCCAAAATGGGCATAACACAGCTTTGCTTGCCTGACTTTCCTCTTGTAAGTGGAATTCATACACAAGTACGACTAGCATTTATTACATTTAGTATAGTGATTAATACACTAATAAACATAACAGTGAGCAAGATCAGTGCAGCAGTTTCTATCAGAGTTTTTCCTCTGGGCTGTCCCATGAGCTGCAAAGCAGAGGGGACTTTGGCTGAGGCTGTGAAAGAACCTGAACTGGGGTTGTTGGCTGCTTTCAAAACAGAGCCCATCCCTCTCCAAATGGCTACTGAGCTCTCTGGGAGCTATTCAAGCTGCTCTTCCTCACAGTGAAAGGCTGTGGCTGCTTCCCAAGCCCTCTGCCATCCAGCAGAGACTGTTGACCACTTTCTGCTACAGGGAATCAATTGAATGGGCTCAGAAATAAACCTTCATGGTGAGATCAGATCTCATCCCTTTTTTCCACCCACTGGCACAGGCTTCTGTAATTGTTTGTATTGTGGCAGCACCTGGGGGTCCCAGACAAGGACCCCCTTGTGCGATGCTGTGAAGGGGAATAAAGGAATGAGCCCTGGCCTTGAACACTCACAGAGCTGGAGAGCCTGACACAAGTAGGTCAGCACAAAGGGGGTGGGATGAGGGGGTTCACAGGAATGTTGAACCACTTCACTGTAGTTTAATTATTTGGGTTAGTGGCCTGAATGTGTAATGAGCTGGGGAGAGGGTCTTTAATATGTAAAGCTGTCTCGGCTGAATAATGTGGGGTTAAACTCTCTCCACAGCCTACGAGGGAGAGGAGGAAACCTGGCAGAAGAACTGCATCGTTCACACCTCACCCTGGAGTCCCTGCTCAAAGACCTGTGGGCTGGGCATCTCCACCAGGATTTCCAACGACAATGAGCAGTGCCGGCTCCTGAAGGAAAGCCGCCTGTGCAACTTGAGACCCTGTGAGGTGGATATAACCCAGCACATCAAGGTGGGGACTATTTCTTTGTGTGCCCCTTCAGCTTTTTCGGTGCAGCTTTCAGGCCTCAGAGGGCTGCACTTCTACACAGACTTACTGTGCTGCACAGAGTTCCAAAATGTGTCCTCCTTGTGCTTCCACGTGCTGGTATGAAAACCTTGCCCTGAGAGCTTTAGCTGCAGCCAAAAGGTCCTTGCAAAGAAGGGCAAGCAAAGCCTGCTGTGCTCAATGCTGGCTCAGACAGACCTGTACCCAGCTACTGGAAAAGCAATGCTGCATGTCTGGTCATGGCTGTGAACTCCATTTTCCAAGTATCCTACTGGGTTCTTATGTCTAAACATGTAAATCTGTCACGGCCTTTAGGGATTCCTAACAACCCTTTTAAATACAGGAATCAGAGAATAGAATCACAGAATCGCTAAAACTGAAAAGATCCAAGATCATCAAGTCCAACCTTTGACCAAATACCACCATGCCCATTAGACCACATTGCAAAATGCGATGTCTACTTGTTTTCTGAAGATTACCAGGGATGGTGACTCCTCCACTTCCCTGGGCAGCCTGTTCAAATGCTTAACCACTCTTTCAACTAAGAAATTTTTCCTAATGTCCAACCTGAACCTCCCGTGGAGCAATTTGAGGCCATTTCCCCTTGTCCTATCATTATTTACCTGGAAAAAGAGGCCAACCCTGACTCTGCCACAACCTCATTTCAGGGAGTTGAAGAGAGCAAGGTGAATTTTATGTCTTACCTCATCACTATCTACAACTCCCTGAGAGGAGGTTGTATCCAGGTGGGCATTGGTCTCTTCTCTCAGGCAATCAGCAATAGGACAAGAGGGCACAGTCTTAAGCTCTGCCAGGGGAAGTTTAGGTTGGATATTAGGAAGACATTCTTTACAGAGAGAGTGACCAGGTACTGGAATGGGCTGCCCAGGGAGGTGGTGGATTCACCGTCCCTGGAGGTTTTTAAGATGAGACTGGATGTGGCCCTTAGTGCTACAGTCTAGTAACCACAGTGGGGTTGGATCAAGGGTTGGACTTGATGATCTCAGAGGTCTTTTCCAACCCAGTTGATCCTATGATTCTATGTCAGCATTGAATATTAACCTCTCTCTTTTTATTTTCTTCTCTGATTTAGCCTGGAAAGAAGTGCCTGGCTGTCTACAGGGCCAATGAACCCATGAACTACACCATCTCAGGATGTGTGAGCAAAAGTCCATACAGACCCAAATATTGTGGCGTCTGCACAGACAACAGGTGCTGCACACCCTACAAGTCCAAGACTATTGAAGTGAGGTTTCAGTGCCCAGATGGAACTGAGTTGTCCTGGAAAATCATGTGGATCAATGCTTGTTTTTGCAACCTGAATTGCAGGAACCCCAATGACATCTTTGCCGACTTGGCTCATTACCACGATTACTCTGAAATCGCTAATTAAATTGGCTGAATGCTTGAATTGACCCATTGCTCTGATTTTACAGAGGTTTTAAAATAAAAGGAGACTCTTCATTCACTACCAATGTACAATTTGGTTTTTTCCTGAGTTAGGATGTTAAATAGCCTTGTTTTGCCACACTGTTTTTGGAGAAGCCTTGAACAAGCAGGATTTTTAACTCCAATGGATCTTCATCCATTAACAGCAGCCAGGAATTCCTTCACGCACTGATTTCAGGACTTAAATGACAGCTATGTTGGCACTGCCATTTATTAGGCCAGCAGTTTAATTGCCCAGAGGAAAGAATAGCACACTAGTACGACAGCAAAAATATGCCTGTCAGTAGCTTAGACATGAGATTCAGACACCCTTATTATCATTTCTTGAACAATGTTGTCTAAGATGGAAAATTGATACACGTTTCATTTTTAACATTTGACATGAGGATTTGGTGGTCTGACCCTTGAGATTAAAGTCTAGTATCTGTCACACTGAGATCAGTGTTAGAGCTGCCCCTCTGTCATTCTCAGTCAGATCCTTCTCCATTGTGAATTTCATGGGAGGAGCTTAGGAAGAAGGATGTTTCTCCTGAAATCTCTTTGTGATGAATCTTTCTCTTACTGCATTAGGCTGGGTCCAAGTGTCCTACTCTCCTTGGATTCACCTCAGTCTCTTGGAGTATCTTGTGCCAGGGGTATTTTCACAGTTCTCTACCTGCTCTGATTCTGAACAGCCCGAACGCTCTGAATCCAAACCAGCCTCCCAGAGATCATATTTTCAGGATAGATCTTCTATCCAGGGGTTATGTACTGCTCCTAGACTAGCTCTGCAGACCTGAAGGATGAAATGTAGGGGACCAGATGAGAGATGAAGGGGCAAGACCTCATGTACCCATTTATTCACACAGAAATTGTGTGACTACCACCTCCTCCTCTCCATGGGGTTATGAGCATGCAGGTCACACTTCTCACTGCCACTTCATCAGTGACACAAATCATTGTTTTACATGTCTGGGGTCGAAGAAAGGAGACACATGCTAAAATGAGAAAACAGATGTTAAGCTTCCCATCAGTTCTGTGAATGTGTGGATGCAGAAGGAGAGGCAATTCTTGGCATAGCTTCTGGTGCATTAGTTCCGACTGGGCTGCAGCTCAGAGTAAACATCAAGGCAAAACATTTTCTTCAGAAGTGGTTTCACATGCAAATATCAGCTAAGAGAAGAAAAAAACCTGTCATTACCTTTCCAAGCAATACATTTATCAACACTGAAAGATGCTGGAGCCAGGGGGTTTTTTCCAACAAGTTGTTAGTACAGAACCCAAGCCCCATGGCACATTTGCTATTGCTTCACTTGGGAGAGCAGAAATGTGTTTCTGCATGGAGAACTGTAGTATTTGTTCCAAAATCCCTGGTGGCACAGTAGAACTGATTGACACATAGTCTGGAGATTGGAACAGTACAGGGCTGAACTTGGGATGATGCAAGTGTTTTAAATTAGTCATTATCTTGCTTAAGTTTCAGTTGGCAGGTTGTCTCTCTTCATCTTGATAAACCAGCGGAAGCTAGATTGGTTTCTGGGAGACATAAATCTTTTTGGCTATGATGAATTAAAATTTCTTGTGAATGGTCTGAAAATAATGTCATCCCTATGTAAAAAACACTAGGGAAAAAAATCTTCAAAAGCCGCTAAGTCCAGTAGCGTATTTGTTTGAATATAAGAATTCTGCCCCCATATTTCCCATAGAGCTAGGCCATATCTCAATTCAAAGCTTTTATTACTTCTTTCTTTAAGCTTCCATGAAATAGCCAGTGGCAGAAAAGAAGGGTGATCCCTCTCTGCATGTTTCAGTATTCTCTCCTCTTTGTTCCTCTGATGATAAGGAACCTGAGGCCACCAGCATTTTGCAAGATTCAGCCCCATGACTGCCTTGGCCTGGATGGTGTGACAGCGGAGGTCATATCCGACTAATTTGCCTCCACCCAAATGAGATCTCAGCACTAGCAAGACTGAGAATGTTACATTTTAAACTCCACCCCTTGGTAAAAAAGTCCAATGAGAACATACAAAAAAAGAGACCTTGGCCAAGAAGTTGACCATGTTTTCCAAAAGGGAAAATGGTTTGTATTGAGACATGTTATAGGGAAGCCATACTAGGACCTCTCGCTCAATATTTAAATCTGAATATTTAAATCTCATATTTAAGTTCCCTTAAATATGGCTTGGAATCCTTTGTTTTAGTTCTTGCCCATCTTAAAATGTCATATACGTGTGTGTGTATATACATATATATGTATATATAATATATGTATGTATATGCATATATAAAAAGATATCAATATATACATATCTATATGCATATACATCTATAAAATACTATGTACATGCATTTATATAATATTGTATATAATATTATATATAGAAACATGCCTATGAATATATATGTGTATATTTACATATATTCCTATAGTGCAGCTATGGTGCATGAAAAGGAGTGCATGTATAAGGTGTATTTATATTTACAATCAATCTTTCTCTTATTTACATGTACACATAAGGAAACAAAACCAGGATCAGATCATGTACAAAAAACTGTGTCCCTCAACAGGCTTGCTTTGCTTTGCAATTAGCTAATGCTGTAACCCCCTCAATGAAATGCTGCAGTGGCTGTAACACATGGCTTTCACTCCGAGATAAAAGAAGCTATTGAAAGCTAATGCATGACCAGCAGCTCCAGTGTGTGTCAGTTTTTAGTGAAGTGAATGCCTGGAAACCACAGATCTTGCCCAACATATCCAAGATGCTTCTGTTTCTAGCCTGGTTTCCTAAGGAAGCAAGGCGTATGCAACCCTACCATCCATTTGTTTGTCTGTCTGTCAGGCAGTCCCTCTGTGGGAAATGCCAAACAAAGGAGGCAGAAGTATAAAGATCTCAGAAGCATTGCAATTCCTGCAAAAAAAAAAAAAAAAAAAAGAAACCAAAGAGCAGGACAGGGAAGAGGACCACCACATTGTCCCTGTAAAACCCATGCACATCTGCCAGGCAGCCAATGCTTCCAACACGTCTGCAGTGTGGCCCAAACAACTCAGCAGCAGTGTAAAGGGGTTTTGAACAGACGCACCAGTTGGAAACCAGCAGCCATGGAGGAGGTACAGCTGAAGGAATCATGGATGGGGAATAGTCATTATTGCACTGCTGTAAATAGTGTAAATAGTGCTGTAAATTGTGGGGAGACTGGACACAAATCTGTAGGAAGCACAGGTTCGTTAACTCTTTTGCTTTTACAACTCTTAGTCTGGTGACTCCGAAAGGGGAAGAGCATCACTTGTAGACAGTGAACTTGACCTGCAGTCTGTGGAGCATCGGAGATCCTTTGTTCTAATAGGTGTTTACAAGCAGATTAGCCCTAGGACTAAGGCAACAGACCAGCCTTTAGATTCAGTTCCCTGGCTCCCACTGTGCTTGGGCAGATCATATATCTTTATAAATGTATTTTGTCGTTACTGTTTAAATACATTCAGGATCTAGATCCTCAAAGGCTTTCATGGATCCAGCCCTTGGTTTCACTTTTTCTCAGTGCTTCAGAGCCAGAACAAGACCCTACTATTCACTGCCTCTGTTGAGAGTGAAAACTCCTCCAGAAGGAACTGATGCTCTCTGTACATTTGTACAGTGGGCCCAGGTCTCTGCTGGGACCTGAAAGTGATACCATAACCCAAGGAAGCAACAATAATAGCATTGAGGAGATACCAGGATCAGAGCTGGTGCTAGAACCTTCTGCTGCAACAGTCCTGGGAAAGGCTTGAGAAAGGATGGGAGTGACAATTTTGCAATCCAGTCTAAGCCAAGACAGTTTGACACACATCCTGCTCACAGCAGTTATCTTGTTAGACCTGTATACTGGGACAAGGATGGAGGGTGGGATTTTGAGGTTCTGCTCATGGTGGTATGAACAGCAAGACTCCAGTGAGCTCCAGTGTCTGTAGCCATCAGCCTTCTGTGGGCACTTCATCACAGTCAGTACAGTAGCTCAAGCTGCCTTGTTTGGGAATCCCAGAAAGCAGGTTATCCACTCAATGAAGAAGCAGGCATGAAATTTATTCAAATGCCTTTTCAGGGAGCATTGGCTGGACTTTAAAACACCCTTTTGTGTGCATGCAATTGAAAACAGGGTGTGGTGCAGTTGCCTTATTTTTGACTTGCTCACTAGGGTTGTGCTGTGTATATGTAATACTCTAGAAAAATCACAAATTTAGAAACAATGTGTAAAACATCTTGTAAATTAAATCCTGAGGGGTTTTTTTTGTCCCAGTGTTTTTGAAGGAGTTTTAAAACAAACATTTTGTTAAACTGATATAGACAGAGTGCTCTCACTATCTAGAGGCACGTACCCACACACATACCTACCGAAATTGTGAGTTTTCCTGTTTTAATAGTTCTATGGTTATACCTGTAAGCTTCATATACTGAAATATGGGAAAAATTAATAGGAAAACCAGATTGGCTTGGCAGTGTCAGCCTGAGTTCCCCCACCTATATATAACACATTATTTGTTCGTAAAGCATTGTGATGAGACTTTTTTAGGTGGCATGTTGCTGTTATAGTTTAAAGATATTAAATAACCTCATAAGTGTTAAATGGTTAATGAATCTATAACTGCCACCTCATTTAGAAGCTTAGGCAGGCAAACGGAAGCAAAATATGTCTGCCACTGGCAGCTCTTTTCCAATCTCTTGCCTGGCCAATGTCCAAGTGTGCATTCACAACCTGTGACAAAGCCTTGAACTGGAGGACACATAAAAACAAAGAGCCAGTAATATGGTAAAAGGATGATGTGGAAGCATTTCCTTCAGTGTGAATGTTTTGGCAGCTTGTTCCCTAACTCACATGTTCTTGTTGGCTGGTCTGTTTCTGGTTCTACATTTGCTTGGGTTTTTTTTGCCCTTACTGGACTTGGGACAGACTTCTGGAGTCTCTGAGCAAAGTGGAACATGTTCTCAACCTGCTGATGAGGGCCTTTGTTAGCAGCTCCCTCGAGAGGCTGCAGGAGTAACCTGTTTGCAGCAGCCATACAT